AAAGCAAAGTCATAGGAAAAATTTTACCCCTGGTCTGTAGGCTGTCCTGTCATTAGTAGAATGCTGTATCATTTTTATAGTGGCCATAATCACGTACAGTAAGATATAATGCATGCTATTTAACACAATTTAAAAGGCAATGCGTCTCTATTAAACCGGCCTCCGGGAGAGAGAATTTTCTCAACATTAATTCCCCAGCTTGTCTTTGCCTCTGTATTTACATTTCAAGTATGCAATGAAAGGGGAAATTTTTAGTGACACTCCTGTTAGGTGCGTTCTCTTCCTTGCTTTTACGACTTTGCTGTGTTAAAACCGGTCCCCGGGTTGTCAGAGCCTATGAGCCGCAGAAAAAGTGGGGTTTTTTGTAACTGTATGTGACAGGCACAATGGCCAGTGCACCCAGCTTTACACTTTTGTTTCCCGCAGCAAAATACGGGCAATACTTTTTTGTTGTTGTCAAGTCGCAACTGACTTATGGTGACCCCGCAGAGTTTTCAAACCAAGGGACATTCAGAGGTGATTTGCCCTTGCCTGCCTCTGTGTAGCGACCCCTGGTTTCCTTGGAGGTCTCTGCCCTATCCAAATACTAGCCGGGGCCGACTCTGTTCAACTTCCGAGATCAGATGAGATCGGGCTAACCTGGTCACGGTATGGGCAACATAGCTACAACTTTTAACACCAGTGCAAAATGGGTGCGCGAACCACATTGGCAAGAGGCTTTCACCATCAGTGAAATTTCTGAAGATGTGGGTATGTCATTCACAGTTCATTTTTCACTGTATAAAAACATACCCGCAGCAATTGTGTTGGCAGTATTAAGCCCACTCTCTGAGAAGAGTTTAAGCCTCAAATACTTAGTTATCAATACTTAATTAAGTAAATCACCAGGCACAGTTTTATCATGCAGAAATACTTATTTTTTCCTTTACACGGTGGCAGAAATTCCTCCCTCTAAAGGCATATCCATGGTACTGGAGTGTGATGCTCTCCTAAGAAAGTATAAGTAGCTGCTGCATATCACATCAGCATACTGAAGATAACAAAAAGGCTGAGACAAAAACAATAATCAAATATGGCTAAACATGCAGTGCCCAGGGGTCATTTCCTGCAGGAGCGCACAGGAGCGGAGCTCTGGCAGTAAAGAGCCCAGGGGGTGGGCACATGCAACAAGCTCCACCCCCTGCTCCCAGCAGCCCTCAGTCAGAGCAAGAAGCAGCCAAGTAAATTGCAGCCCGCCCCGGCTCCCCGGTCCAAAACAGTCCATGGCACCTTTAAGACCAAGTTTTATTCAGGTAAAAGCTCTCCCTCCTCTGCGAGGACAGATCTGCACGTTCCATGCAAATGAGTTATGCTAATAAGTTATGCTAATGAGCTCCCGCACCTCTTTTTCTACAAAATGACCCCTGGCAGTGCTAATATAAAAGTACACAATATATTTTAATTATGCATAAGAAATATTAAAATCCCAATTAAAAACACACATCTATGGTTCTATATATAAGTACCTATACTTAATATCAGGACAAATGTCAGAATATATAAATACAGGTTAAAAAATACAAAATGTATCCAAATTCAAGAACCAAACACATTTAAAAAGCCTTCCTTAGTGGTTAAATAAAAGCTGAGCACTCCATAAGTTGAACATCAATATGATTCAAACTCATCGTATGTACCTGGAACCAACAATTATATTTATTCCTCATCGTATACAGAATGGACCTGAAAACAAACAATAACTAAATACAGTGTAGACCTTACTCACACAGAAATGTTTACCCATGGAGTAAGTGGGAATAGATATAATGTCCTGATATTAGGTACAGGTACTTATATACAGAATCATAGATATGTGGGCTTTATTGTGATTTTAATATTTCTTATGCATAAATAAAATATACTGTATATTTTTATATTAGCGCTGTGTGTTTAGCCATATTTGATTATTGTTTTTGTCTCAACCTTTTTGGTTACTTTTCCTCTATAGGGTTGGGTTTCTTCTCCCTTTCTTGGTCCTACCATACCAAGGATACCTCATGATGAAATCAGACCACTGGTGGAGCATGTTTTGTCTATGGAGACTGGCAGCAGCTCTCCAGGGTCTCAGGCAGAAGTCTTTCACATCAACTGCTCCCTGATTCTTTCCACTGAAGATGCCAGGGACCGAACCTGGGACTTTCCACATACCTAACAGATGCTCTGTCATTGAAACATGGCTCCTTCCCCAAAGCAAACCTTGAGACACATTATTTGGAGTAATACAAAAAAGAAGCAATAATGCTCTCCTATACTTGGCGGACTTGAGTTCACAGCACTGCTCAGCCATGAAGTTCACATGATGGCTTCGAATCAGTCCCCGTCTCTTGACGCCAACTACCTTGTAGGTTTGTTGTGAGATTAACAGGAAAGGAGAGGAGAATTGTTGTGCTCTCTCCTCTGGCCTGCTTAGAGGAGAGTTGGGATCATGAATAAAAATAGAGGGAGCAGAAGTGCAGATTGTTCTGATGAAGCATGACATCTCTGTTCATATTTTACAAGACAGGCTTACAATACAGTAGCTCTAGCAGGAGTCTGGAAGCATGTGACGTTTCCTGCAGCCCCAGACCACCAGCTCAGGATCTTTGTAAAAGAAAACAATTCTGAAGCTGACCACACATTTTAAATAATGTCTGCACATCAACAAGGACAAGAAAATTAAATAAAAGCCAAGACTGTTAGATGCTGTGAAAACTGAAACTGAGTCAGCTGACTTTAGTTGCTTTTACAAGTCCTGGTAGAAGGCAATTTCATTTCTAATGAAAACCTGTGAACATTGTTTAAAGTGACAGGCCATGTGGGAGGCAGCCATTAATTTCATATGAATAAAGAACACACATGCTTTCCTATAAGCAAATATGGACTTAAAAGATGTGCATCATCAAGGGCTCACTGCATCTGACTGCTGCTTGAAAACATCTGCACTAGACCACATCTGGATCCTCTTTCCCACACAAGCAAATGGCGGGAGAGGTATCTGAAGACAAAGTATAGTAATAACAGCTGAACTTTCACGGTATATGAAGGATGGGGTCACAACAGTGTACAGATCCAGGAAATATGGAAACATTTGGACAGTTGCTACTGCTCACAACTCCCATGTAATGTCTTTCACAACTGTGTGTTGCCGGTGGGCCTGAACTGAGTCTCTGTGCTGGCTGTATGAGTGGTTATGATGGGGGCGACAGGAGCCGGATGCAGGTCACATCACTTCCAGTTAAAAAAACTTGAGTGGCACACAGTAGCTCTAGGAATCACAGAAAACTCTATGATAAACCATGGAGTTTCCCGCAATTTATCCGGGGCTGCGATGGCTCAGGGGTTAAGATGCTGAGCTGCAGACCAGAAAGGTCTGTAGTTCAGCAGTTCAAGACCCTAGTGCCACGTGACAGAGTGAGCTCCCGTCTCTAGTTCCAGCTCCTGCCAATCTAGCAGTTCAAAAGCAAGAAATTGCAAGTAGATAAATAGGTACCGCTTAAGTGGAAACTTAACAGTGTTCTGTGCACATCGGCAACTAAGTCATGCCGGCCACGAGACAGCGCTGGCTCTTCGGCTTGGAAATGGAGATGAGCACCGCCCTCTAGAGTCGATTCGACTGGCTATTGAGCAAGAGAAACCTTTACCTTTACTTCCTGCAATTTGCTCGAAACGGTGTGGTTTTACCAAAGAGTTTTTGGCGGTTCCTAGAGCTACCTACATCAGTTCTGTTTTTTCTACCGGAAGTGACGTGACACTTCAGCTGGCACTGCAGACCTCCCCCCATCTCTGCCCACAGACAATCTCTTGCTGGTTGTCAAGCACTGTGTGGCAACCCTAGACGGCGGATATGCAGTTTCCACAATATGTGTAATTGCAAGAAGTTCTTTTTCGAGTTGCTGGAGATCAGATAGACCACCGTGGACTAATGTTCCCTCTAAGCTGTGGAATCTTGTGAGCAAAAACTCTACTTTGTGAGCGACTAGCATTAAAGTTGTGAGCGAGTGATTTGTCTACTGCATAAATTAGTTTGCTCTGGAGCCATCCCTTCCTGAGCTAAGACAAAAATGTGTGAGCCGGAGGCTAAAAAACTGTGAGCTAGCTCACACTAACTCAGCTTAGAGGTAACACTGCCGTGGACATGCATCCCTCCCAAGCACAGTGTTCCAAGCACCATGGACATGCATCCCTCCCAAGGACCTTTGCAGGGTTCCAGGCTGTGTTGGCCAACATTGTCACAGACCTTGAATGAAGGCCATTGTGTAGAAGCCACTGGCTGTATGAACAAGCCCGAGCGTCTCTTGTGAAAGTGCCTTTGAGGCTAACCCTTCCCTTCATCAGCTATTTAGTCAGTCTGGCCTATCTAACCATGTAAATACTTAGGAGCAGTACTTGACAAAAGGACCTTGCCCAGGCACCACAACAGTGGATGAGATGCTCATTTTTCAAAGTCCTCTAGGGACATGTCAGGGAGAGGCTATCCCTTTGCCTAGTGACAAGTGAGGATAATATTGGAGACCAAGCCCTATGAGGAAAGGCTGAGGGACTTGGGAATGTCCATTCTGGAGAAGAGGAGGTCGAGGGGGGACAGGATGGCTCTCTTGAAGTCTTTGAAGGGCTGTCCCTTAGAGGAGGGCAGGGAGCTGTTCCTGTTGGCAGCAGAGGAGAGGACTCGCAATCGTGGGTTTAAATTAAGGGCGGGAAGGTACCGTCTCGATCTTAGGGAAAACCTTTTTACAGAAAGAGTTGTGCAGCAGTGGAATCAGCTGCCTAGGGAAGTGGTGAGCTCCAGTCCCCTCCTGGCAGTCTTCAAGCAGCGGCTGGACAAACACTTGCCAGGGATGCTCTAGGCTGATCCTGCATCGAGCAGGGGGTTGGACTAGATGGCCTGCATGGACCCCTCCAGCTCTATGATTCTCTGATCAGCCACCAAAACCTGCCTGTCCCCAATCTCCACATTTACATTTCCACTTTGCAGGCCCTCCTACCTGCAGATGGCCGGAAAGCACTCTTGAAGACCTTTCTTCTTGACTAACGAACCTTCCAGACAGTACATGAGGATGTCCATAACCTGCGTATAAAAGGTAAAACATAAAATAGTTCTAAATGCACAACCCCCCCCCCCACAATTTCACAGCATTTCTTAGACCCCTCTAATGCCTGGATTCCCTACTCCCGTCAAAGCTTCCCCCGTCTCACTTAACACTCCCGGATTCTAATACTCATTCAGATGATGCTTCCAGTTTTTGGCCAGTTGCTTTCTCTTCCTAACGACTGCTTTCGACCTCTACCTCCCATGCATCCTTCCTACTTTCTGTCTTGCTCTAAATGCTACAAATTCCCTTTCTTAGGCTCCCTCAAATCTGATTCATCTTTCCCCGGCTCTGCCGCATTCCACTGAAACCCTGATCCATTTCTCTTATCTACCGGCCTCCTCCCCTTCTGGCCCTTTCTACCATCTTTGTTTTTGATAAGCCACTCGCTTGCTTCTGCTCCGGACACCTTTGCCCCATTTGCCCCCCATTCTGTCCGTACTCCGGTCTTTCCCCGCATGCACAATTACAGCCGTGTACTCCTGCCGTGCCGAAAACAGCGAACAAAGCGGGAAATAGGTTCAGTGGATGCTTCATCTTGTTGTCAAAGGCAACAAGGGGACAGGCAACAAAGGACAGAAGGGCAGACAACCTCAGTTCACCTGCGACCAGAAAGGCCACCCCCCCACCCCTGCTCCTTTTAAAATAGTATAATTTGAACCAGGCCTACACCGATTCCCAGGTGTTTTTGGTGAATACAATGCAGGTCAGATGGGCACTGAGTCTACTTCAACGGGGTACTGACCTACAGCTAATTACTTGCGCAACAAGCCCTAAGAGACACCTCAGGTATTTATGTGGCGAACAGGACTGTGAACTTTAGGCCCTTAGGCCGCATTCGGGGGGAGTGTTTTATTTGAATTGCAGCAGCACAAATATGAGAGTCCTTTAGAAGCTCAAAGAGAGACGGTGGCTATTAATTTCACCCTTTAGTATTCTAAAGGGCCAGCATATATGTAAGGTCTTTCATAGAGAGGATGCCTGACTTACTTCTTTGAGGTTATTCATCTCCCCCCTCCAATCATTAATGTGTAGAGCCAGTTGCCATATTACACTTGCATAACACGGAAGTGGCAGTAGAAAAAAGAGTAAGAGTTCAGTAGCTCCTTAAAGACTAAGAAAATATGTGGCAGGGTATAAGCTTTTGTGAGTCACTGCTTACTTCTTCAGATACCTATAGCACGGACATGCAACAACTGGCAAAGGTGAGAGGCCTCTCCAGATGACACAGTGAGTACAATGGGGTAAACAACACTACTATGGCAGCAGTGAGGATACCATATGGAGATGAGTTTCCAGCTGAGTAATAGCCATAGCAGGTAGAGAACAGAATGCCATCTAGCACAAGGATACTGAAAGGTTACTGTTAGAATACAAACAATTTCTACATGATCTAATGTTAGATTTGATCTAAGCTTGGTTAATCAGATACTACATGGGCAGAAGTCTTCTATTCACAACAGTAAACCAGCCACTCCCTGTATGAATAATGAAAGCCACACAACGGGGCTACGAACAGACAAGGTAGGGTTCTCTTCTATCTATTCGGGACAGTCCCCAGAAATGCAGAAAAAAAATGTCTTCAAAAATGAAGAAAAAAAGCTTCCAAAGCCAGCCTCACAAGGACAAAATTATGCTCATAAGAACATAAGAGAAGCCATGTTGGATCAGGCCAATCCAGGCCCACACTCTGTGTCACACAGTGGCCAAACCCCAGGGGCCATCAGGAGGTCTACCAGTGGGGCCAGAACTCCAGAAGCCCTCCTACTGTTGCCCCCCAAGCACCACAAATACAGAACATCACTGCCCCAGACAGAGTGTTTCATTTATACTTTGTGGCTAATAGCCACTGATGGACCTCTAATCCATATGTTTATCCCATCCCCCCTTGAAGCTCTTTATGCTTATAGCTGCCACCACTTCCCGCGGCAGTGAATTCCATGTGTTAATCACTCTTTGGGTGAAGAAGTACTTCCTTTTATCTGTTCTAAGCCTACTGCTTATTAATTTCATTGAGTCCCCACAAGTTCTTGTATTGTGAGAAAGAGAGAAAAGTAGTTATTTCTCAACCTTCTTCATCCCATGCGTAATTCTGTAAACCTCTATCATGTCACCCCCTCAATCGTCATTTCTCCAAGCTAAAGAACTCAACCTCTTTAATCTTTCTTCATATGGAAGAGGTTCCATCCCCTTAATCATTTTAGTTGCCCTTTTCTGCACCTTTTCCAATGCTATATCATCTTTTTTGCATTACGGTGACCAGAACTGTACACAGTATTCCAAATGAGGCTGCACCTTTGATTTATACACAGGCATTATGATACTGGCTGATTTGTTTTCAGTCCCCTTCCTAATAATCCCCAGCATAGCATTTGCCTCTTTTATTGCAGTCGCACAATGAGCTGACATCTTCAGTGAGTTATCTACCATGACTCTCTCTCCTGGTCAGTTACCACCAGTTCGGACCCCTTCAACCTGTAGGATTTTTGGCTCCAATGTGCATTACTTTGCACTTGCCCACGTGGAACCATGCCCATTTGTCATGTTAACGCCCACTTGTCCAGACTTCATAGATCCCTCTGGAGCTCATCACAGTCCTCTTTGGTTCTCACCGCCCTGAACAACTTAGTGTCATCCACAAATTTAGCCAATTCACTGCTTACTCTACCTCACTCCAGAACAGATGGGATGTTGAGAGAAGATAAACATCACTAAAAGTGTAAAAAGGGGGAGTGAGGTAGAGAAGTCAATCACCTCAAAACCATGGAACCTTACAGACTCCTCGAGAAAGGTGTTTTTTTTTGGGGGGGGAGACCCAAATACATAATACCCCACCATGTCTGATAGCATACATCACATTTTAATTCCATAGCCATAATATGCCGACCAGACCAAAGTTTTGTGATCAGGCTATTATTTTATTTCAATTATTTAATTATTTCAATTATTCTATGCCTCCTTGTCAGAGTCTTGCTCAAGGTGGCTTACAATTCAAAGAAGTTATGCATATAAAAGCAGTAAGCTATTATGCGCTTTGATTAAATTACCCTGCTTCGAACATTACTGATAGATCAAGATGGGTAGCCGTATTGGTCTGTCTGTAGCAGTAGAAAAGAGCCAGAGTCCAGGAGCACCTTAAAGACTAACAAAATTTGTGGCAGGGGAGGAGCTTCTGTGAGTCGCTGAAGAACTGAGCGGCGACTCATGAATGCTCATCCCCGCCACACATTTTGTCAGTCTAAGATGCTACTGAACATTATTGTTCCTAGAAGAAGAGGAGGTTGGATTTATACCCCACCCTTCACTACCTGAAGGAGTCTCAGAGAGGCTTACAATCTCCTTTCCCTTCCCCTCCCCACAACAGACACCCTGTGAGGTAGGTGGGGCTGAGAGAGCTCTTTCGAGAACTGCTCTTTTGAGAACAGCTCTGAAATAACTTGTAACTGAGCCACGGTCACATCAGCAGGTGCAGGTGGAGGAGTGGGGAATCAAACCCGGTTCTCCCAGATTAGAGTCCGCGCTCCTAACCAATACACCAAACTGGCTCTCTCCTCTGGGATATTTGTGATTTGTTTTACTACCATGTGGGCCAAGGAAAAGGCACTGCTTTCATTTCCTAAACACAAGTCAAAATATGAAGAAGAAGAAGAGATTGGATTTATACCCCGCCCTTCACTACCCAAGGGAGTCTCAGAGCGGCTTACAAACTCCTTTCCCTTCCCCTCCCCACAACAGACACCTTCAGTCACCAGCATGCACTGGCACTAATATACTGGGGTGGATCCAAGTGGCCTTCCTCCAGTCTAAGGAGCCTTAAATGATTCTCCCTCCAATGGACGACCCACTTCGTATCATCCTTTCCCCACCAAGCAGGGCTCAGGGCAGCTTCCATCAATGAATACACAATAAAATCGACATATTACGATTTTAAGATCCACATTATTACAACTAGAATGAAGGAGGGGAAATAGAGAATAAGGAAGGGGGGGAAGGAGGGAGGCCAACTGATCTCTCCACCCATCACTGTCCCCCACCACACGCCTGGTGGAACATCTCGGTCTTACAGGCCCTGTGGAACTGAACCAAGTCCTGCAGGGCCCGAGTCTCACTAGACTTAAGGGGGAGGGGGGGAGCTTCAAACTTCAATGAAAAGGAACAGCATGGCATAAATATTTTAATAAATAAACATATAGGCTAGGGCAGTGATGGTGAACCTTTTAGAGACCGAGTGTCAAAACTGCGACCCAAAACCCACTTATTTATCGCAAAGTGCCAACACGGCAATTTAACCTGAATACTGAGGTTTAACTTTAGAAAAAACAACTCATACATTGACTTAAGATGTTAACTTAAGATGACCCAAACAAAGTAAGGAAAACAATCCGAAATGCTTTCATTTACTTAAAATTATTTTGCAGAGAATTCGAAACTTTAATGATGGCCTGGGCCTGGCTGGGGCGATGGCACGCGTGCCCACAGAGAGGGCTCTGAGTGCCACCTCTGGCACCCGGGCCATAGGTTCGCCACCACTGGGCTAGGGGGTAGCATCCACTTCATTATGACTAAAACACTGAGCAAAAAGGAACCATGATGAGATTGATTCAAGATCCCTTCATGTACTGTGATTTAGCCATTTGCCATACGGTCCATGACACATACATATAATATGTAATCCATGACACATACATACAGTACAGACACATACAGTAATCCATGACACATACAGACACATACATACAGTACAGACACATACAGTAATCCACAGACACATACAGTAATCCATGACACATACATATATAAGGGCAGAAAGGTGGGAATATAAATTCTGTAAACAACAACAACAATAATATCCAGGCTTCCAACAGCTCCGGCCAATTGTGAAGTTCCAACATTCGTTTTCAAAACGTGCTAAATGAAAGCTGGGAGGCAAGTGGAATCTATTGCAACGCAAATCAAAACTATACTCCATCAATAACTACAGGGTTAAATCCAGCTAGTTTTTTTCCTGTGGCTGAGAAAGGGAGGAGTCCGCTTTGACCACTAAAGCAGACTATACTGGGGACCATGGGACCTGCCCATACAAAAGCCATATTGGCTGGCGACTGTCGTATGATGGGGGATTGGGTGCGACTGAATGAAAAAGTTCGTGGATCTAACCCACTATATACAGGAGAGGGGACCCCCAAGGATCATACCATTTGACTTATAAAGCGTGATTTGTAATATGTGTGTATATGGAGAGAGAGAGAGAGAGAGAGAGAGAGAGAGTTTTCAGTGGATTTTCAGTTTATTTTCTCACAATAAATCCACATCCATTTTCTCTAGTGCAGTTGGGAGTTGAGAGAGCTTTCCTGATTTTAAGAATGGGTACTGACTACTTGTCCCAAGTAATCAGAATTACCAGAGGGCTCTCCTCTAAACCTTCTCCTTCGCGACCTATGCGTGATAAAACTCAGAAGGCGCTGACAAGAAGCAGCATCTTTATTCTGCATAAATTAATCAGGAATCGAAATAACTTCTCTCACTTGAGTACCATAATAAGCAACTCACATTAAAACAATAATGCATTTCTAAGTGGATTCTCAAGGTGAGTCAATGTCGATTAGCAAGGATTTAATGTGCGCTGGCAACCCTCGTCAGCCCAGTCAAGTGGTTATACACATAAAAAAGCAACACCATATTAAGTTTTATTATTTTAATGCATGTTTATGGAGCAGTTTTCATAACTCCCTATTCTGTATTGATTAATCTGAAGAGTCCTCAACGTGACAACGCTAGAAAGGGTGCTGGGGCTGCCAAACCCCACAGTTTAGCATCTTAAACGTGATCCGCAAACACAGAAACGGGAAGTTACGGGAATACATTTGAGGTTCTTCATGCTGGCTTTCTGATTTTAAAACACTTTGGGGGTGCATCACTACAATATTTTCTTCATATCTTTGGGTTATAACCGATGCTCCCTCTAAGCCGCAGAGTCCTGTGAGCAAAAATTCTACTTTGTGAGCTACTGGCATTAAAGCTGTGAGCGAGCGATTGGACTGCTGCATAAATTAGTTTGCTCTGGAGCCCTCCTTCCTGAGCCAAGACAAAAATGTGTGAGCCGGAGGCTAAGAAACTGTGAGCTAGCTCACACTAACTCATCTTAGAGGGAGCACTGGTTATATAACTTATAATTTTTACATAAAAACTGATACTTCATTTCTCTCACGGTGCAATCCCATGCACAGATGGGGGTGAGAAGTGCTGTCAAGTCAAGGGTGATTTACAGCAACCCTGTAGGGTTTTCAAGTCAAGAGCAGTGTTCCCTCTAAGCTGAGTTAGTGTGAGCTAGCTCACAGTTTTTTTTAGCCTCCAGCTCGCACATTTTTGCCTTGGCCCAGGAAGGATGGCTCCAGAGCAAACTAATCTGTGCAGCAGCCAAATCGCTCGCTCAGAACTTTCATGCCAGTAGTTCACAAAGTAGAATTTTTTTCTCACAAGACTCTACAGTTTAGAGGGAGCATTGGTTAGTAGACATACAGAGGTGGTTTGTCATTGCCGGTCTCTTCATAGCCACCCTAGACTTCCTTGGTGGTCTTCCATCTAAATACTAACCAGGGTTGATCTTGCTTAGCTTCCAGGACAGGACGAGATCAGGCTAGCCTGGGCTGTTACTGCTGTCTAAACCCAAAGAAATCAATGTACATTGATGATCACAACCAATAATATGCATTGTTTCTTGCTTGCCCACTCCTCCACATGCAGCTGCTGGTGTGACCTTGGGTCAGTCACAAGTTCTCTCAGAGCTGCTCTCTCAAGGGCAGTTCTCAAGAGAGCTCTCTCAGTCCCACCTACCTCACAGGGTGTCTGTGGTGGGGAGGGGAAGGGAAAGGAGTTTGTAAGCCGCTCTGAGACGCCTTCAGGTAGTGAAGGGCGGGGTATAAATCCAATCTCTTCTCTTCTTCTTCATCTGGCATTCTCTCAGTGACCCCTACTTCCTGCCCTGTGTTTTAATTATTGTTTTTATGTTCCTGTGTGTGTATTTTTGCTTGTGTTTAACTGGTTAAGCGGTGTCTCTTTTGTTTGGTATGAATGGTTTTTAAGACCTGTTTTTATTACTTTTTAATCTGTTAAGTGGCCCTGATGAGGACAGAACGTTGGAGTATAAATCTTGCCATATGTATATAGTTCAATTTGGTTATCTGCTCTGAGCTCAGGATCCTAAATAATATCCAGACATAAAAAGTACTCTGCAAAAGGCAAATGAGTGGCAAAGCTACCAAGCACGCACATTTTAAAATCTATCAACAGTTACTGGTTAAGGCAGAAGCTGGAGAGTTTTGTAATTTTATGTAGGTAGAAACCAGCCATTTATTCACTTAAAAATTTCTGTTATTAACTATGTATTTCTAAGGATCCAGGGGCTCACTGCAGTGTCATTTAGTTAGTTTTCATACCCTTTTTTATTATACACACACAGAACTCTCTATATTTATACTGTCTCTCTCTCTTACACACACACATACGCACAGTGTAGAGCAAAAATGTAGGCATACAAAACCCAGAAACATACACCTACATATACAGAGACGAATGAGAAACAAAAGCAAAAACATAAAGAAAAAAATATACAAAGAGGGGGAAATCAATTCCTAAACAGTTCTTGTCGCTAAACAATGAAGTAATTGTTCTTGCTGAAGTGCGGCTCAGCGAGCGGCGGAAAAAGTTCTGCTCACCTCCTTGGCGATGGTTGTTATGAAGGCGGGTGGCCTGGCCGTGGCAATGAGCGAGAGAGCGTGTCGCGCGGAGCGGGCGGAGTCAGCTGCCGGACTGAGAGGCAGCCCCATTGTGATGCTAATCGGAGATCAGACAAAAGGGGGGGTGGAAGAGGAGGGGGGAAAACCCAAAAGAAAGGAGGCATTAGAAATATAGAGTGAAAAGATTAGACACAGCTTATAATGTCAGTTCAAGGTCAACGGGAGCACTCAAACAGTTAGAATATAATGGACTTCCAACAATGAGCGGTGATTAGGAGTCAGGGTGTTCTAGCATCTAATACAAAATCAAATAATTAACCGTGAAGATTGAAAACAGTATGTGCATCTGTCCAAAGTGTTAAAAAGGCCTTGTTAACAAATTATCCGGCTGCAGCACTGAATACATATGACGGAACCGAGGGCAATGCAAATATACAGTGTGTTTTACCTCCTGGCCGAAGTTTTATAGACCATTATGCACTCAGCTGCGCTGCCATTATTATTCCAATCATCCAACTACATTGGTTTATTCTGGCTTAGAGGGCAAAAAGAGCTCCGGGAAAGACTTGGTTTCACTTCCATTTCAGCTTGCTGTGCTGAGTCCCTCTCTTCCTAAGTGCAGCCATTATAAATGGAGGACACAGCAGATTTTCAGACATGATGCTCCAGTTCAGAGTTCCTTGCATTACGAGGGCAATATATAAAGACGGAATTTAAAGGGCTATCATCACTTGTTAACGTCTTCAACATTTCCAGACCCAGGACCCACCGTTAACCACCCCCCAGGTAGCAGCATGGGACCCACTGGGCTACAAAAGCATATGGCAGGAAATCATGTGACAGGAAGAGGAGGAGCTTGTATTACAACCTCACTGATAGGAGTGGGGGGCTTCAAGGGTACACTTGAGGACCAACTGGTGGGAATGGGTGTAGGTGTGTCAGACTTGCAGGGGAGGCACGGGAGAGCTTCTGCTGGGACAATTCTCTGGACTTGCCCGTACTAAAAGGGAATCGGTTCCACTGCCGAGAGGTCTGCGGTCTCAGAGCGTCTTACAAACTCCTTTCCCCTCCCCTCCCCACAACAGACGCCCTGTGAGGTGGGTGGGGCTGAGACTCACACCAGCAGCTGCATGTGGAGGAGTGGGGAATCAAACCCGGTTCTCCCAGATTAGAGTCCGCGCACTTAACCACTACACCAAACTGGCTCTTTACTAGCCACAAGGTATAGATGGAACACTGTATCTGAGGCAGTGATGCTCTGTATTCCTGGTGCTCAGGGGGGCAACAGTGGGAGGGCTTCTGGAGTTCTGGCCTCACTGTTGGACCTCCTGATGGCACCTGGGTGCTGGCTACTGTGTGATACAGAGTGTGGGACTGGATTGTCCTGATCCAACATTGCTTCTCTTATGTACTTATGCTGAGGGCCGGTTCTGTAACCAGGTCACCCAAGAAGGTGCTTGTGGCGGCACAGTGAAGAGGACACGAGTGCCCTATTCCATTCGCTCTCAGTTCTGTACTACTGCTAAACCGTGCCAGGGCCTCACAGCAGTGACGGAAGAGACAAGTGATTCTTGCTAGAGGCAACAACACCCCTCCCCTTAATCCAGCCATGTGTCAGGTTCAACAGCAAGTAAATCACACACGTTTCCAGGGAAGCGTTATGCTTTATTAGATTACAGGTCTGTTGCCATGATCTACAGGGATATTGTCAGGAATGACAATGGGGCGGATGCATCCCTACATATAACAGGATGAGGCAAATGGCTAAGCAAATGAAATCCAAGCGCGCGTGTGGGAATTCTCCCGGCGGGAGGTTACATAATGAACGGGAGAGTCTCTGTGCCTCATGAGAGCAGAAATATTCACACCAACAGTGGAACGCAAGCCCTCCCTCCTTCTCAAGGCCAGTCAGATAACCCAGTCTGGCAGCACCAGTTCGCACGGTCTCATGAGTGCCTCCCTATCGCTGTTTACAGCAAGCGAGCACAGCAGCGAGCAAGCATGCGGCGTAGCACCAGAGGCAGGGAAGGAAAAATACAATGGAAACATGGCAGCTAGCTGACATCATGTCTGAAGGAGAGCGGGGGGGGGGAGGACTGGGGGGGAACCCCTGTGCCTAACTTGCCACAAACATGAAAGGTCCTGAGGTGCACCTTGTTTTTCCTCTTCTCCAGCAGCCCTTAAAAAAGTGAGGTTTCTTCCTCCGAAACATGTAAAGCAGGCATGACATTTCTTCTGTCAACAAGCAAC